TGGGTGCCGAGCCAAGTCATATAACTTTCTAATTCAGAAAAAGCAAAATATCAAATAAAAATGTGGTTGAAATGCATGGATGTGACATCAGTCTGTGCACTGATGTAAGGAGTGAGTCCACTGCTGTAGATGTATGAGGTATGAGCTAGTGTAGGGTTCCTTTGTTTCCTGATAGTGAAAGCCAGTGTCATATGGGCTCCACAAATAAAGGAAAATAACCAATAAATTACCATGTATTTTTGTTTCTTACAGATGGTTCTGTTGGTATCTTATCTTTTATATTAAGAGCTCTGTCTTAGATCAGGCTGCTGTAACAGAATACCGCAGAGCAGGTCGCTAACCTGACAAACATTTATTCCCGTAGTCTGGAGGCTGGGAAAGCCAAGGTCAAGGTGCTAGCCAATTTGGTTCCTACTGAGGGTCATTGTACAGATGGCTAACTTCTTGCTATATTCTAACACAGAAGAGGGTGGGGAGACAGAAAGAGAATATGTGCTCGCTTTCTGGTCTCTTATCAGAGCACTAAACCCATCCTGGGACTCCACCCTCATCTAAACCAAATTACTTTCCAAAGTACTCACCTAATACCATCATATTGGCTGTTAGGACTTCAATACATTCATTTGGGGGTACATCAACATTCAATTCATAATAAATTCTTTAAAGCAAGTTTAGTGAGCCTCAATTAGTTTAAACTGGCTTCGTTACCTGAACTACCAATAGCTTATATAACATGATCAATTATAAATATATCTTCCTTAAAGTAGTTTTTATATTCATTATTGCCTTGCCTCCTTTTTGTTTACAAAGTCTAGGATGCTCTTACGTCTCTCCTTTGCTGGTAACACATATCCTTGTAGCTTTCCTTTGCCTGGAGATAGGTTAAAGCAGGTCTAAAAGAATGAATGATATGAGCCTATTTTTAAAAAAGTAAACATAACAAATGTGAAGTATCATCCCCTCTGCTTTATGTTGATGGTTTCTTATCTTCTCTTTGGATTCTTCTTTCAGACCAGAGTCTCTCTCACCGTATACCACATGGCTGTCTACCATTTCCGACGCAGATGCACTGCTAGCAGAGTGGGGGAAAGGTGGGGTCGTCACTGTTGATATGGGAGGCTGCATCAGGCTTTGGGAAACTGGACTTGAGCATCTGCAGCGATCGCTCATGGAATGGAGAAACATGATCGATCAAGAAGATGACAGACATATGCAGGTACCACTTGAATCCGCCTTCCTGTTAGTGGTCTGCGTCCAGGTGTAAACTTAGTTCTGTATGCCACAGCAGGGAAAACTCCGGGGCCAGTGCTCCAAAGTAGTTGCTTAAATAGCTAAAATAGTTTTTAGACTTATTATAGAAAAAGGCAAATCTCCATCTGTGAAAAAATTAAAATGTGCCCTTCTTTGCTGTCAGTGTTTGAACGTATAGGTTACTGACATCACCTCTGTAAATAAAATCATCAACTTTTATTTTTAACCTTGAGCATTAACCAGTTTGCAACATCGCCTCTGCATCTGTTCTTACTTTTCTGTATCGCTGTCAGCGTCTCTGCCTGCTGCCCAGGAAACAGCAACCAGGAGGATCTAGAATACAGCAGATTCTTCCAAGGCCAGAACCTCTGAACTGGGGAAGTAAGCAAAATTATGCATCCAATAGAGTGGTTTTTATAACCAACTTCCTATTTCCAGATATTCCAAATCTGGTAGTCACAGTAAGCAGACCCAGTCCTCCCCTGGAGAAAAATACAAGAACAGGCCACCAAAGTGAAGGGAAAGCCAACCCCAGAAATAACTTGTTCATTACCTAATCTGGTTGCTGTCTGGAACTAATCTTAAGAGTGAAGGAGACCGTGTACCCATATATACTAAAGCATATAGTAACAGCATTTCTTTATAATTTGTTTATTTTAATCTTCAGAACAGCTTTTCTGTTTACATGTTAGTCTTAGCCAGCAAAAATAAAGGTAGCTTTCTGCTAGCCATGTTGTTCGGCAAAGAACCAATCAGCAAGATAAGAAATTTCTGTGAACTATTTTATTGATACCTTATTAAGAATTACCATATGTGTGGTTATTTTTGTGATTTTTCTTAAAAGACAAATAGATAATACATATTTCTCTTAGATCTTTAAAAGCTTACAGGAACATTTTTAAAAATCTCGAACCAAAGTAGACTAGCAACCTCAAATCCTTCTGAAGGGGTATAAATTCATTAATTTAATTACGCTAAAATAAATGTATCGCTCTAAAACAAACCCATGACTAAACACAATGCATCTATTACAGCACCAGACTGAATGTTGGTCACTGCCCATAACAATATTTACAAAACTAATTAGGTTATAGCCTGTTTCTTCTTTTATTATTCTAAACATTAGTTTCTTCTTTTTTTGAATTAAGCTCCTATTCTCATTATAGCCATTGGTGCCAAATAGTATAATGAAAACTATTGTATTTGAATTTCTATTGAATTTCTCATTCATATTGTAGAGATCAAAGGTCATGTTTCCCTATGGTCAAGATTGGTGGCCTAAATTAAGTTTATTTTTTACAAACAGAACTTTAGAAAGAAATTTTTTTTTAGATTTTTAAAAACCAAAACATCTATTGCATGACTAATTGTTGAAATTCTTAAGATGAGCTGAATGCTAAAACAGCTGCTCTCTTGGGTTTGGGTGCTGTTCCTTTATGGAATCCATGCCTGAATCTGCAGTATACAAATTTTAGGTACCTCATCCAGCTCGTCCCCGGTGCTATTTCATCTTATAGCCTTGGCATTCCAGTTATACTTTTCTTTTGCACTTGGCAGGGTAGACACATTTGCCACAGGTCAACTTTTGAAGGTGGCAGGCCTTAGGACTACAGTGGTGGCACAATGTGTGCGTCTTATTATGCCATTTTCCAAGTGATGACATCCCCTTCATCATCTCAGTTCTGTGGCCAAAACCAAAGAGCTAGAAAGAACTTTTACTGATGATTTCGTAACTCTTCCTGACTGCTACAAAAATTTACCCTGTTTGTGTTTTAACTATGTAGTTCTTCTCTTCCAGTGACTCCTCTTGACTATACTGTGCAACTTTGTAATCCCAGCTTCTAACACAGTGATTGGTGCCCAATAAGCAATTAGGTTATATAATGCTCACAGTCCTATATGCTGAATTATACTGGTAATTAAAATTATTTTATAACAAATAGAATTCTTTCTTAAACTATCACATAGTTTGCACAACAAACCTAATGGGAATCATTCCAGGAGCAATGGTAATAACCAGCAAATTTTGGTCCTTTAGCGCCCTTTCTGTTTGATCCTACAAACTGTTCTTCATTTATGTGCTCTTTATTCAGCATAGGTCTGCTCCTGTTTTCGGAAATTCGAAAATGCCTTTCATAGAAGTATTGAGGAAAGGAAATATGTTCTCAGAACCCTACTTATTTATCAATTTCTGGTTGCAAGCAGCCTCCCCTGTCACTGGCAGAGTAACCGTATCTCCATCTAGTGGCCAAATGGAATTACTTGACTTCACGGAAATTCATAGCCCTGCTTTGCACTCCTCTATATTGACTCAGACCCAGGGAGGCTTTCATACTCCTGTCTCATGTGGTTCTTGGTGGGCAAGAGATGCTCTTTTAAGTCAAAGTGAAGGCTGGGCAAATTGCTGCCAAACCATCAAGAGAATATTTATTGAGCAATTCATATAAAATGTGTTCATTGATTTTACATGCTTTGGCAGGAACATGGGGGGTTTTTCCCATAACTAACTATGACAAACTCAAAGTATTACCTTAAGTGTATTTTTAAGAGCCTGCTATTAAGAATTGATATTTATTACTTTTAGATTTCATAAGTTTAGAAGCATGGGTTAATTATAAGACCAAATTCTTCTGGCTATATTTAATGGTGTTCTCTATAAAGTATATTTTTATATAGTTACATTTGTATTTCATGCAAGAAGCCTCAGCGTCCCAAATAGCTAGGACTACTGGCTCCTGCCACAACACCTGGCTTATTTTTCTATTTTTAGTAGAGAGCAGGTCTCATTCTTTTTTTTTTTTTTTTTTTT